ATTTGATTTCCAGCCAAATGTAAAAGCTTCAGCAGATGAACTGTAGGAGCAAAGTTCATGTGTGAGACTTCATCTGAAAGGTAACATCTTCTAGTTTCTGAACATGTGTTTGTTTAGCATGTGGCTGAAACACAGGCTAAGCTAAGTCAGCTCCAATCTCAGTAACAACCTTCTTTGGTCCTCATCTATAATCAGTCATATCTGAGTCACAATAACTAGAAGATGATTTCTAGCAGAAGTGTGAACATCTCCACATCCTTTCTCCATGTTATCATCCAAAGCTGTGTGAAGTTTCAGAGCTCTGCAGCTAACAGAGACTTTCAGTTTGCTGCTCTCTTCCTCTGACAGCTCCATTCTTAGGGAGCGTTAGTTCTGTTTCACTTTATTCCACTTATTCAGTCTGATGTTCTCTGATCTGTTTCTCTTGTTTAGTGTCTTAAAGGCTGCCAGTGCCTCTCTTTGCTGTAACCAACCTTTCTCTTTATTTCTGAGCTTTTTAAGGACTTTAACTGATGCATCAACCTTTGAAAATGGAAAGAAATCAGTCAGATTCATGGCTGCATCACAGTGTCACATGTAGTTCTCCACATCAGCTGGATTATATCTATAGCAGCAAACAGCAGCTGATGCACAAATCTTTGTCTGTGTGAATAAAGTTGGATCAGTTCAAACAGTTTGTTGCTCTGCTTGAAAGCAGCAGTTTTTCTAATGCACCACCTTCATGTTTCCTTCATATTTGAATCCCCCTGTAGATGCTGACAGGTAACCATGTCACACAGAGCTCAAGCCTTTGAATCCAGCTGTGACTGTTGATTTTCTATTGAATGGACTTTTTCAAATCCAGCTGTAGGCCTGTGTTTGTGAGCTCATTAACAGCTGTTTGTTTAGAGAGACGTGGTCCTCACAGGACAGCCACTACAAACATATGATTTTATAGAATATGATGCATTACTGCAGATTCAACACAATAGAAAGGATTTGAAATGAGCTCAGCCTTAAACATGTGCAGCAGTAATATTGATCCACAGACACTGATGGGAACATTTTTCTGCACAATAAGTACTTTGACTTTTCATACTTTATGTACAATTTGCCAGTACTGCAGTTTAGTGTGTAGTGAGGTGTTTTCATGGTGTTTTCTTGGTGCTTTTACTAAAGGAAGCTTCTATCAAATTCTTCCACATGTTGTCAAACTGAGCTGTGTGATGAAGTGAGTGTGACAGAAACACTCAGACTGTGTTTCTCTGCTTCATCAAGTCAAATCTGGTCCTCAGAGACTGAATAAAGTCCTGTCCCACTAACAGCAGCTCCAACAGTCTGTTCACTGCTTTCTTCCTGTCAGTCTTCATCTTTCTGCTGCGTCTCCTCTTCACACTGACCACTTTCTATCTAACAGTGAGCTCCCAGTGAAGCAGCAGCATTCAGCCTGTTAGAGGCAACACAAATGTCTCCATCCAAGCTCATGTTGTGCTTTGTTGTCCTCTCAGTCCCCCAGGTGGAGGTGGATTCAGGGGTGGAGTCTGTGCAGCTGCCCTTCAACACCACACTTCACCTGCCTGAAGACGCTAAAGTGGAGTGGATGGACAAAGATACAACAGGAAGGTCCACGTGTATGAGAACGGCTCTGACCAGCCTCACAAACAGCACCAGGTTTACAGAGACCGAACGAAGATGAATGAAGACCTGCTGAAAACTGGAGACCTCAGTCTGACCCTGAAACACCCCACAGACTATGATACCAGGACCTACACCTGCACCGTCTACAGCAGGGAGGGAAACATCCTGCTGAAGAAACAAGTGGAGCTGAAAGTCAGAGGTCAGTGCTGTAGATACAGGTCAAAGGTCAGAGGTCATGTAGGAGTTTATTCTCTAAAAGCTTTTAGTTTGAATCTATTTTCAGTTCATTCAAATAAAATAAATTCTTTGATGTTTTGATCTAAAAGCCAAAAATGTCAGGCGGAGCAACTGTGTGTTTAAATGAACTAAGAAGACCATTAAAATGATCCTACCTTCAAAATAAAAGCCTCTGGCATGATGTGAGTTTGGATCAAATCAATAGTTTTGTTAGTTTAGTCCAAATCAATGTAAATGTATAAATATCAATAGTTTTAAAGCTGCTGAGATCATTCAAACACTTTGATCCAGTCATTTGGATGTTGTCACATGTCAGGGTGGAGCAGCCATAAATACGAGGCTTTTATTGTGAAAATGCTGAGTGTGATGATCCAGAGGAGCCCATGGGGTGTTTGTGGCTGGATGCAAAGGTTTGTAGCTCTCCTTGTAAAGAGAAACAGCTTGAAGCTACAGAGGAGCGTCTGCAGAAGAAGACAGGGGAAAGAGGAAGAAGCTGAGGCCGCTGGAGAAAAGACAGGAAAAGGAAATCAGCTTCATTTGTTGGAGGCCGTTTGTTCATCACACTGAAATATTCCCACTTTAGAGACAGGAAACAAAGTGAAGTGTGGATTGAAAAACCAAAACAGCCACAAACATCAGACATGCTAACACTGTAACATTATTGGATGGAGCCACTGAGACTGAACCACCATCATGAGTCTGACCTCTGACCTTTGACCTGTATCTACAGCACTGACCTCTGACTTTCAGCTCCACTTGTTTCTCCATCATGATGTTTCCCTCCCTGGTGTAGATGGTGCAGGTGTAGGTGGAGTTGTCTCCATCTGCGGGGTGTTTCAGGGTCAGACTGAGGTCTCCAGGTTCCAGTAAGTTTCTCTTCATCTTCGTTCGGTTCTTGTATTTATCGTCCTGTTCTTCAGGCTGGTCAGAGCCGTTCTCATACACGTGGACCTTCCTGCTGTTTGCATCCTTCCACTCCACTTTAGCATCTTTAGGCAGACAAACTGTGGTTTTGCAGATCAGCTGGACAGACTCCACCTCTGAATTCACCCCCACCTTATAAACTGAGAGGACAACAAAGCACAACATGAGCTGTACTGAAGGTTACTAATGGTCTTCTTATGACCTGTTACAGAGGACTTATTCCTGTGCTTGTCCTGTTAGACCTCAGTGTAGACCACAACATTTTACTACAAACACTAGAACACACCAGAGTTATTAAAAAGGAAATTTACTGCAGTGGTTTGAATCACATCTGATAGATTCCAGTTTGTTTATGTAAATGAGGAGTTTCCTTCACAAACAAAAATTATTCATAGATGTGTATAATTGCTCTCCAGATGATACACATTCGATTTTAATGATTAATCCCTGTCATATCATTTACAGGCACGTTTTAAAGACACAAAGGCCTGGATCAACTCTAATTTACTGCTTCTAAATTCATCACATTGATCCAGGACCTGTACATAACTAGAACTAACACACACATATTAGTGTTTTTCAAATGAGGTCAGTGACCACTGTGTGATCGCTGCAGTCAGACAATTGAAGCTCCCAAAATCAAAGCCTCAAATAGTTTTTAAGAGATTTTAAGAATTTCTGTGAGCAAAATTTCTTTTATGATTTCTGGGACGACAACTGGAACAGAATCCACCTCATTACTGATGTAGAGCTGGCATGGAATATTTACAGAATGCTTAGTTTTGTCCTTGGAGTTCTGCAGAAATCATTAAACCTTCTAAAATTAAAAAAGGCCAAATCAGAGTTTTAGCTTTGAAAAATCATTAAACATCTTAATGATCCTAAAAACTTCTGGAAAATAATAAAATCTTATTAAGGGGATATAGCCACCAAAATACCAGATTTTGTTTTAAAAGGCTGACGTACTTTACTGAAATATTTTATATTTTAAGTGCTTTATACAGTTTGTTTCTTCAGGGTCTTTATTTGAATCTTTACATCAGATTTCAAACAGATTATTGCACAGGAGGCTCTCTGTAACAACTCAAACTCTGTGCTTCGAGCCTTCAGCTTTTCTCCTCTGAATGTCCTGGAGGTCCACAGAACCTTAAATCTGTTGGATCCAAATAAATGTGCAGGACCAGATCTTTATTTTATTAAACTGGCTGCAGATTATATAACAGAACCACTAACTTGTATTTTTAGTTTTAGTCTTTTGAACACTGAGATCCCTGAAATATGGAAATCTACCAATGTTCTCTCTTTGATGAAAAGAGATGATGTTAATAACTACAGGCCCACATCTAAATACTGTGTTTAAGTTTCCAAAAAGCTTATTAGTGAACAACTCAAAGAATTTGGGCAAATATTTAATTCTTTCCCAACATCAGTCAGGATTCAGTAAACAACACAGCACAATAACTGCTGCTCTTAAAGTGGATCAATGACATCATTAATGCAATGGACTGAAAAAAGCTCCTCTTTGTCTTGGCTTGTCAGAGGCTTTTGATACAGTTGTCCTGCCATTTTAGTAAACAGACTAAACAATATTGCTGTGTGTTATATGCTGTGAGTTGGTCATCAAATTATTTGTCGGCTAGAACACAGTGTGTTCAAAGGTGTTCCCCAGGGCTCCATATTTGGACCACTGCTCTTCTGTGTACATAGATAAAAATTCTGCATTACATTTTTATTCAGATGAACTTGAATTTGTGCAGTCTGCCTTTGATGATGTTCAGTCCCATTTGACTCAAATTAAGTTGGTGTTAAATTCAGATAAATTCAAGTTCAAGTTATTCTCAAGTGGCAAAGAGTTTTTATGCAAACTTCCTAAGAACAAAACCAGTCAAGGGATTGAGGTAAGGAATGCGCAAATGTCATGGGGAAGAAAAATCTGGTTGTAACAGTAGTACAATCTGACCTGATTATTTTTGTTGTTTAAACATCATTTGTTGCGGGTCATTTCTCATGTCCTTATGTTGAATTGAATGCACGTTTATGTGAGATTTCTTTATTGGGAAGAGAGGGGTAAAACATGGGAGCATAGTTAGCTAACGCTGTTGTTGCTTTTCCATTTAGGTCTTACGCCGACTGTCCACGACAGTAGACGAAAGCATTCTAACTTGTTGCCTTTTTGTTGTGAATGCAGATCAGAGAAGACACTACACAGAGGTCACATTGGTGCCGTAACTCGTTCGTGATGCTGCTGGATCGGGCTGGTGTCTTCTCGTGGCAGCAGCCTCGTGGAGCATCGGCCTCCTTATTGTTTAGACTGTTGGCTAACAGAATCAAACTTTGGGGACTTTTGGATATACTTTCATTTGGACTTTGTATATTGCCATATTGGATTAAGCCAATTTTAGCTCTTTTAATATCCTGCTAGATATGGATCTCAGTGACTCAGATGACACCCCAAATGTGACTCACCTTGATGTGGGTAGGGGTAGAGGGTTCACAGCTGTTCCTTTTTCACTGGGTGACTGTCGGGTGGGGCATAGAGCAGCAGATAGCCCTTGTGGGCTTGTGGCTGAGTCGCTGTCGGTACAGTGCACTAAGGCATCGGCCTCAGACCCCCCAATAACTGATGTGAGTCAAAACATGTGATAAATGGTCAGCTCGTGAAGTTCAGGAGGTACTGGATAAGTATCACCTGGGGAAAAGGGTTCCAGTCTTCTCCACAGACGGGTGACTGTGTCTATGTGAATAAGGCAGAGGTTAGCGCAAATGCTACTCTTTGCTTGGCTGACCACGAGCAGAGACCAGCTGTGAGTCAGGATAGCACTGCTATTGAGAGGTTGATCAGCATGCTAGAGAAGGTGCTGCTTCAAGTCCCAGGCTATGCTCGAGCTAATGTCAGGTGACGGAGTACCCGACTGCGAAAAATACCGTGTTTGGATGACACACCATGTTCCATATGCAGAGATAGCTCCCACTCCACCCTCATGCACTGTGGGGAAAACAGATTGTGCTTCCTGTGTCATGTACCTGATCATTCGAGACGCAACTGCCCAGAGGGCAAGTGTCCTCCTTTCAATGGTCATCAGGGAAACTGAACGATCTGCGTGGAGGACAGCGCAGATCCAGCAAGTAAGCTTCCCACTTTGGACATGACTACACAGATTATGAGACTTTGTATTCCACTTACAGTGGCATCATACCGCCAAATGAAACACTGATTGCACAGGGCTTGCATAGGCTCCCAAATACTGATAGCTTATTCTACTCTGCAGTGACTACTAGTAGTGGACAAGTTCTTAAAGCATTAGTGGACAGTGGATCTATGGCGTGCACCGTAAGTGAGACAGTTGATGAGAAACTTTCACAATCTATACCTGATATTGAGAGACGTTCAGCCGAAGACATTGTCATTATTGGTTGTGGGGGTCACCTTGTTATACCTTCTGCTACATATGATCTTACAGTATCAATATATGGCTTCGAGAAGCTTCGCACTACTCTAGATTAGATGGAGGAGTCAGGAAAAATCCATAAATCCCAGAGTGAATTCTCATCCCCCTTGTCCGGTGAAATGGTGAGCTTGCGCATATGCAATGACTTCAGATGATGAAATGCAAGAACAGTTAAAGATTCACATCCATTGCCTCATCAGTCAGACGCCCTTGCAGCACTTGGTGGGAAATGTCTTTTCCTCTTCAATGGATCTCACATCAGGGTTTTACAATGTCAGACTCCACGAGGACGACAAAAAATACACGGCATTCTCCCCATTTGGCCTTCATGAGTATAACATGGTGCCTCAAGGCCTGACAAATAGTCCTGCTACTTTTATGCGAATGTCCATTTTTGGTGATGAGAACTGCGCAAGCTTGTTGTGTTATCTGGATAACCTTATGGTCTATGCCACATCTGAACAGGTGGCACTTGAACGTCTGCAGATGGTTTTCTCGCGCCTTTCTGCCAACAACCTGAAGCTCTCATCTAAGAAATGCCACTTTCTTCAGCGGTCTGGGAAGTTCCTGGGACACATCATATGTGGTGAGGGTGTGAAAACAGACCCAAGTAAAATGCAGGCTATAGACAATGTGCAGAAAGCAGACCTGATGGAGTCTGACGGGGTGACACTGTGTGCGAGGAAAATCAGGTCCTTCCTTGGAATGGTTCTCTACTACCATCATTTTGTTGAGTGGTGCTCTGCAAAAACTAAGCCACTGTTTGATCCTGTGGCTGAACCGGCTGCGATACGCATAAGAGGTAGAGGCCATAAGCCTAAATTTAAAAGGGGCCACGTAGAGCTGGGCGATAGAACGATAACGATATATATTGCGACATAACTTTTTCTCGATAGAAAAGTTAAACTATTGCGATAGGCCTCATCTCTCTTGTCCTCTTAAAAAAAAGAACAGCCAATCCAAATTAAGTAACGCAGAGCCGAACCAATCACAACTGCAGCGTCATGTCACGTGACTTGTTACGTACAGCACAAGTGCTAAGCCGCACATGTGTATTTGTTTGGGAAGCAGCCAGCCGCCGTGCCGCCCGGGTAATGGAGGAAATGAGTGTGCCGACTAGAAAAAAAATCAACCGAGAGTGTGACCGAAGGTTACCGAAGAAAAAATAGATGATGGTGTCATGATCCTGGGTGTTTTGACCCAGCGTTTTGAGTTTTAGTTTATGGTTTATGTTTAAGCCCTTCAGGTTTTCTAAGTTCATTTTTATCATGCCTAGGTTGTTATAGTTCTTTGTCATTAGATTCCCCTTGTGTCTAACACACCTGTTAAGTCTCACTTGCCCTTCATGTGTTTCATGTCTGTGTCTTACTGTAGAGAAGTAGATTCTGTAGTAGGATTTTACATGATGTCCACAAATGCACCACTGACATCCACACCTTCCCAGCCAATAATTAGCAGGCTTATAAGAAACAGCTGTGCTTCACTACCAGAAGGAGGCATTTGGCAGTCTTGTCCATTCAAGGTGGCTGAGAGCATTAGGCAGTTAAGTGCTGCAGATCTCTCAAGGAAAGCTACTCGGTTTAGTATTGCCCTTTAGAGAGTGGTAAGTGGGACTCTTTGTTCATCATAACGTGGCATATAGTAGGGTGGACTTTGACAATTGTTTCCCTCCTTTGTTGCAGGTTTGCACTATACTGCTGCTGTCTTGTCATATGCTGTTTTGTTTGTTGCATGATGCTTTTATATTGAACATTACTTTGGGGTGTATTTGTTTTATGTAGACCTTTTATTAATGTGTGTAACGTTTTATGCTTTGATTTATTGCTTTAGTGGAAGTGTGGCCGCTTGCTGAGGGGCTAGGCACGTGAGGTGGAATCCCCTTCCTGATGCATGCGAGTGTACACACCGGGCATAGGTTGATTGCACCATTTAGAGTTTAGTGTAAGTGACAGTGAGGTCTGCAGTGAAGTTACACTGGTGAATAATTGGTGGCACCCTTGGGCACTCCTCCCTGTAGGTTGCCTCCTCAAGTGGCCGGTCTCCACTATTTTGTGTGGTTATTCTTTTATCATGCTGTGATTGTTTTAGGGTA